AGAGTTCTCCCTGCCCCAGTGTTTTACCACTTCCCATGAGGCCCTGTGGAGATGGGTGTTTGCAACATGTGCATTTTTCTCAGCTTCAGAAAGCAACTCACAACCAGTCCCACTCTGCAACAGAGTTCTCCCTGCCCCAGAGTTTTACCACTTCCCATGAGGCCCTGTGGAGATGGGTGTTTGCAACATGTGCATTTTGTAAGAGTGTACCGGGAAGAGCATTTTGTTCCACTTCTGATCCACCACCAGCTGGCTCTGTGTGTCTTAGGACACAGCACTCAACCTCTTTGGGCTCAACCACCCATACAGTGAAGACCCTGGCTTGATAATCCATAAATGCTCTGCTCTAATTTAATAGGGGCTTTCTTAGCCTTAGGATGTCCCTGTCTCATTTTTGTCTCTACTTGCTGGCTCCGTAAAGCAAAACTTAACACTTACAGCAATCCTTACCATCTAATTTTGTTTTTATGTCGCTTGACTGTGTCAACTATTTCTAGCTACCTTAGCCTTTTGCCCATATAAAATGGACAACTGACACGTAATTTCTACTGTTTTATCTGTACACCATATCGTCATGATTCTATGTATAGGGTATTCACTGTCAGTCAAGGCTGCTCTTAGATAAAACCTGTTCTGTAAAGATCCTGGCTGACCTTAACTTTTCAAGTTTAACAAGAATGAAAACAAAAGTGACTTTGATTAGAATTGTCCTAATCCAATTTATCAATACTGGGGGAATTTAAAAACAATTACCAAAATGCATCAAAAAATAAGATGGCTCGGGCCGGCCCGGTGGCGCACTGCTACAGTGCGCCGCTTGGGAGCGCAGCGGTGCTCCCGCCGAGGGTTTGGATCCCACATACAGACCGGTTCCCGCTCACTGGCTGAGCGAGGTGCGGGTGCGGCGCCGAGGGTTGCAATCCCGTTGCCGGTCCCGGTCCGGTATGGGCACGACACTGAGGGTTGCGATCCGTTGCCAGACACGAAAAAAGACAAAAATAAATAAATAAATAAGATGGCTTAATGGATAGACGGAGGGAAGATATGTGATAAAGCCAATATGGCAAAATGTTAACGAAAGAGCATCTCCCTGATACATATGTGTTCATTGGACAGCTGGGAGAAAAAATTATCAAACCTACTGGGAAATTCTGCAGACGTAATTGTCCCATTATAATGAGACCAGCAAAACATGGTTACATTTCAATTTTCTCACGGTTTCTAACCTGAAAATGATTTATTTTTAAGTAGGACTTCCAATCTAATCGTAAACTTCTAGGGAAGGAATACCAAGTCTGCTGTCTTGGGTTCCAGCAGTTGTCCATGAAAGTCTCTGCAGGGAAAGGCAGGCTCGCTGGTTTGCTGCCATGCACTGGGTGTTGGCAGTGCTTTACAGTAGGCAAATTATAGCCTTTGGGCCATGCCCAGGCTACTGCCTGGGGCTGTACAGGCTAAGAGTGGTTTTTACATTTTTAAATGGTTGAGAGAAAAGTCCAAAGAAGAATAATGATTCATGACATTTGAAAGTTATATGAAATGCAAATTTCATTGTCTGTAAATGAAGTTTAATTGGAATACAGCCACATCGATTAGGTTGTAGTTTTCCACAGACATTTTCATGGTACAACCAGGGTTCAGTAGTTGTGACAGATCATATGACCACAAAGCCTGAGCTATTTGCTCTCTGGCTCTTTACAGAAAATCTTTGCCAACCCCTGCCTTACAAGATAGAAATGTTACCTTCACGCTCTCAGAGATTAGGCAGGCAGATTTCTAGCAATTTACTCCATTTGATAGAGTATGGTGATCATATCCCATGGCCTACAGCTTTAACTCTTCCATTTCTTATGCTTTCTGAAGTGAATTTTTGTTTTTCTCTCATTTACTATTAGCCAAACAACTTGTCTCTATTCAGCATTACAAGGAAATTTCTCACCTTGTCCCCATTGGCCTTGCCTTAGCTTTACACATTAGGTGTGAACCTGAGAAAGAAATGTTGACCCTAAGAACTGGGTGTAATAGAAGTCAACCTTGAATTTTGGCATCACATTGATTTTCACAGATGGGTTACCAGAAGGAAACATAATTGCCCCATAGGTATGAGGGTGGAATTGGAGATACTTAAAAGCATCCTCAGCCCTTCTCAGTGGGTAGACTATGTGTGTTTATTTCTTGTGAGGAAACTTGTAAAATGGACAGTTAAGAACCATTGCACAATTAATTCACGTTTCACTGGGATGTTTACTGGCTCCCTGTGGCTTAAATGTTCTCAGAGGCATACTGTGTAGCCACAGGACAAATAGAAAAGCAGGTGGTCTCGAGGAGACATAGCTTCAGGAATTCACTTTTGCCTATGGTCAGGCTCAGGCTCTTTTATCTGCCCGTAATCCTGCTGACTGGGCCAACTGTAGGGCTAGGGCTGGGTCTGGACCTCAAAGACCCCTCAAGCCTATTGTCCAGACTGGGTCACAAACCCTTCACATGCCAGGCTGGGTCACCAGACCCCTCACACGCAGGTCTATGAGCTAGGTAACTGGCCAAAAGGTCCTTGGAGCCATAGGTTCGAGAGCATGGCCGAGCATGGTAGACGCCAGCCAAGTCCCAGCACTGCGCAAAAACACTAACTCCACCCACATACACACAATTTGCTTACTAAGAATGCACCACACCATCCCCACCCAGACCCAAGGTGGAGGGGGCCTGATTAAACTATTCTTTTTTCCCAACACCTAGAATGCCCTGTGCAGAACATGAGGGCCCTGAAGTGCTCAGTGGGTCACCTCCACAGTGAACCTCCTCATTGCTGGCTGACTTGTTTCTCATGAGTTAAGTGACTGCAAACTAACACTCACTTGCATAGATGTGACCATGTTTGCAGCATTGTGTGTGACTTTTTTTTTTTTTTTCTTTTTTTTCTTTTCTGAGTTTTTTTCTTCTTTGCCAGTAGAGAAACCAAACTTGGACAACGTGATTCTGAAGTCACATATTAAGTAGAAACATGCAAATCAAATATTGTATCATTGAATATTGTTCAAGGATTGAGTGTTTTAAGCAGGGCACTGTGCTTCAAGTTCATTTGTTCATTCCACATGTATTCACTGAACACTTATGAAGTGCTTAGCACCAGGTTACCCACGTGAGCTGAAACAGGGGTGGTTGCTGCCCTCATGGAGCTTATGCACAGGTTAGCTACACAAAGAGATGTAAAACAGCAGCTTTGATAAGGACTCAGCAGTGGGGGTGGGGGCTGGGAAATGGGGAAGGCTACGGCAGAGAGCCCAACCCATCTCGGAAATCAACCTTGGAGGTACTGGTTAGGATATAGTTCTTTGTGCCGAAAGCAGTGGGAAGGCGCTGAAGTTTTTTAAGCGAGGAAGTGGAATGATCAGCTTTGCGTTCTGAAAAGCTCACTCTTGCTGCTGAGTGGAAAATGGATCATAGGGGGGCAAGATGGATATGGTGTCACCTGTTAGGAGGCTGTTGCAGAGACAGAAGCAAGAGATGCTTGTTTTGTTGATGAGTGTGGTGGCAGTATGTAGGGAAATGGTGAAGACTTCAGGAAGTACTGGGAGGTAAACTTGCAGGACCTGGTGGCTGACTGGGTGTGGAGGGCGTAGGAGTGGAGAGGGGCTTGGGAGCAACTAGAGGGTTGGAGATGCCCTTTGCAGACAGGAGGAGTGCCTGGTTTGATAGGGGAGGGAAACACGCTGGGAGGATAGTGAGTTTGGTCATGGATGGGAATGTTGTGACCACGAGGCACTTTGGAGGAGGCCAAGTGGAGCTACCAAGTGGGTACCAGGCATGTTTTTGGAGCTCGGAGAAGTGGTCTAGGCCATGGGGACCTGGCTGGAGCACGCCTACCTCTGTGCCTTTGCTACCGTATCAAGGACTCCCTGTTGCCACATCCTACCACATCCTGTCCCTCAGTCCTGGCCTGCGAAATCCTTTCCGTCTTTCAGAGCAGAGTCCAGGAGATGCCTTGCTTCCTCAGGGAGCCTGTAGCCCTCACCTTATGGCCCACTACCGTGTTCTCAATTCTCCCAGCCGGCCAGTGATCTCGCCCTCTCCCCCTGGGGCTGTTACTATTTGGATCACAGCTGGCAAATTAGCCTCTCTGCAGGCTGGCTATCATTTTTATAATCCCCCTCTCCCCTCCAGCACCTGGCCCAGTGTCTTCAGGTGGCAGGAAGTGGGTAAATAGCAGACACAACCCACAGTCACGTTTATTGTGTGCACATGTGCAGGCACTTTAGGTAAGATGGATTCTTGCAGGCTCACCTTCCTGGTAACTCCCCACATTCCTGGCACTCCCATGACTGTCCATTAGCTGCTGGGCCCTCGCAGGTGGTCACAGGGGTCTTCTTCTCTTCCTGGAAAAATGGCCATAGGTGCTATTTGGTCATGCAAATAAAGTAACAGGCGCTAAATTTCAAGGAAACATTGACAGATACGGATCTTCAAAAAGTTCATGGAAAGATTCCTATTATCTTTTAATTCTATTGGGGGGGGGGGGGGGGGGGGGAGTAAATCATGGATTGACTGAGATGAGTATTTTAACTTCCTTTCCAGTATCTTGCATTCTAACTTCTTAAATTCCCTACTATAGGTAATTCACTTTTAGCTTCCCTAAAAGCACTAAAGCTTTACACGTCAGTGCTTTCCAGAGGACAGTTGAATGGAGATCAGTCCTCTGCGAGCCTGGCCATGCAGTCACCCCCAGCCAGAACGATCAGCACACAGCGCACAGCACACCCAGGGCAGAGCCTGCAAGGGGCACACACTTGGGTCTCTGGGGATACTGTCCTAACAGCAACCCTCCCACTGAAGCATCAGCAAATACCTCTGATGTTTTCTTTTTACTTTTAAAATCTGGAAATAAATTTTAAAGTTGTGGCCTTTTGGCGAATAACAGTGCTTCTTCCCTAACATGCTTATTGTAAAAGTATTAGTCTGGTTGTCATTTTTTTTTTCAGGCCTTAGTCTATTTCTTTATTTTACAGGCATGAAAACAAAAAGAAACCAATGACAAGTTTAAAGTCTAATGGTAAGAGAAATAACTGGACACCAGATTTTCATTTTGTGTGTTAACCAAAAAAGTTGTTTATGACATATATGAATTTTCTACACACTCGTGTGAGGACTGTGAAGTATGCCTGTGATCACATGGGTGGCCCTTGCAGCTGTCCCTGGGGTGGGATCTGAGGGCTTCTGAAGGCACAGTTCTTTAGTGACAGGGCCACATAAGTGCCATGGACCACAGTGGCAAAGCATTGTAATTTGCGAGTATGACTTTGCAGGGGATCCTGGCCTCCATATCTAGTTGATTACCAACACCAGTATATTCTACCTACAGAATGTTTCTTGCCTCTCCCCATCCTCACTGCTGATGCCCCACAAGTAGCCCCTGCTCATGACATGGCCAGGCTCTTGCAGTAGCTCTAACTGATTTCCTCACATCCAGTCCTTCCCAGCTCCTGACCGTCCTTCACCTGGCCATCAGCATCCAAAACCCCATTTACTCTTCTTACCCTCCTGCTTAAGAAGTGCTGACGCCTCCCCACCACCTGCAGGACAGAGTCTACACTTTGTCTAACTGATTTCCTCACATCCAGTCCTTCCCAGCTCCTGACCGTCCTTCACCTGGCCATCAACATCCAAAACCCCATTTACTCTTCTTACCCTCCTGCTTAAGAAGTGCTGACGCCTCCCCACCACCTGCAGGACAGAGTCTACACTTTTTTTGTGGTCTGGTCTCATTTCTGCTTTCTAGCTCTTTCTTCCCAAGGTCCTGCCCTCTTTGAGTCTAGCCAGAGCCAAAAAGATACACCACACCTATGCCTCTGTGCCTTTGCTCATTTTTTCTTCTATATGAAGTTCTTTCCCTTCTCCTCAGCCCACTGATCTCCTATTCATCCTTCAACACCCAGCTCACAGAGAAAATCTAACCCTCCTTTTATCATGCCACTGTGGCATAGCCCCTGCTGAGCTTGGGCTCTCTCTACTCCTGGTCTCCTTAACCCCCGTCCTCAGTGGGTTATAATGGAGAGCAAGGGTTTGAGTCAGATGACCTGGGTGGGACCCCCAGCTTGACCACCCACTAACATTGCAATCATAGCCAGTTGTTTAACCTCTCTCAGCCTCACTTTGCTCAGTAAAATGGAGATATTAATATTGACCTTAGGTTGGTGCAAGAATTAAATGGGGTTGTATTATAAGAAGTCAGCACAGAATTGACAAATTGTGCCATGTAGATGTCAGTAGTCATGGAGATTTTTTTAGTTTAGTAGACGCTGTTGGTGTCCCCACCACATCCTGTCAGACCACTGGGAGGTCACCTCCACTCCAGTTCTCAGACATGCCTGCGATCTTCTGCATCAGACATCAGTGCATCTCTGCCTGAGGGCTTTCTGTGGCCACAGAAGCATGCTCAGCCCTCACAGGGCAGCCCAGTGTGCTAGGAAGTCAATGCCCTGGATTGAGAACAACCCCCAATCAAGAGAGGGGAGTTGATGGATCAGTAGCGCCACTTCCTTGCTCTTGGCTGGGACAATCTGAGAACTCTACACAGTCTCTCAGAGGGTCCCCTGCATGACTGAGCCACACTTGCCCACTGCCAGCACCCACTCATTAGCATACACTTTATTACCTGCTTCTCTTCCATGTGTCACTCTCCCACTGCGCTCACCATGGTTCCTAGGATTACCTCCCAGATAAACGATGTGTACCCAAGTCCTGTCTCAGGCCAGACGTCACTGCTGATTCCTCTACTGTATCTTTTCCTTCTCTCTGCTCCTGTAAAGAACAAAGGGAGATAAAGTGGAGGAGCAGCTGAAATGAGGTGGAACAGGCCTGATAAAACACCCTACCTCCTTGTTAACCCTTATTTTAAATCTCTATCCTATAGTGAAGAGTTGGACACAGCAGGGAAAAAATATTCTGCAAGGTGTTTTACATAACAATACATAGAACACACTGTGATATGTGTACATTTGTACAGTATTGATGTGCATTTCAGTTGTGTCTGGTAAGGTATGTCATGTGGTATCTGTGTTAGGCCTTTTGCAGGCCAATGCTCTAATTAACCAGTCCTACTATGCTGTTTTATAAACTCTTAATCAGAGTGCAGAAATGTTAAATACCTGTCTGGTTTTCTCTTCCAGCCTTCTGGGGTGAGTCTGATGACAGTAACTCAGAAATTGAAGCTGCTTTACGTCCTAGAAATACATCCATCGATGATTTTGATGATTTTGATGATTAATAAGCTGTAACATCTGTTGGAAATAAAATCTTTGAATAAACTGAAACCCTGTATTCATATGTGATATCCAACATAAACATGTTCTTTTAAGTTTTCTAATTGTTTAATAGGAAAACTTGGGACCACATTGCTATTTGTGTGAAATTTCATGACATAAACATGAACTAGCATATTCATTTTTAAATGTCATCAGGAAGCAAAGTGATGAATGCAATGCCCGTCAAAATTCAAGTTGGTTTCTTTGTAGAAATCAACAAGCTGATCCTAAAATTCATATGGAAAGTCAGGGGACCCAGAATAGCCAAAACAACCTTGAAAGAGAAAAACAATGCTGGAATATTCACATTTCCTGTTTTTCAAACTTACTAAAAAGCTACAATAATTACAACAGTACAGTACTGGATACATATGTAGATCAATGGAATATTGATTCCATTGATTTTTATGTAATCTAGAATTGAGAATTCAGAAATAAACCCTCACATTTATGGTCAATTTTTGACAAGGGTGCCAAGACCATTCAATGGGAAAAGAATAATCTTACCAACAAGTGATGCTGGGTCAACTGGATAGCCACATGCGAAAGAATGAGGTTGGATTTCTACCTCATACTATATATAAAAATTAGCTCAAAATGGACCAAGAACCTAAGTGTAAGATCTAAAACTATAAAACTCTTAGAAGAAAACATATAGTGTAAATCTTCATGACCTTGGACGAGGCAATGGTTTCTTAGATATAACCCCAAAAGCACTAACAACAAGAAAGGATTAGATAAATTCTACTAAATAAAAATTAAAACTTTTCTGTGCAAAGGACGCCATCAAGAAAGTGAAAAGGCAATCCACAGAATGGGAGAAAATATTTGCAAATCATATATCTAAAAAGGAACTTACATCTGGAATATATAAAGAACTGCTAAAACTCAATAATAAAAAGACAAATTAAAAAATGGGCAAAGGATATAAATAGACATTTCTCCAAAGAAGATATGCAAATGGCCAATAAGCACATGCAGAGAGGTTTGACATCATTGGTTTTCAGGGAAATGCAAATCAAAACCACAGTGAGATACCGCTTCATACCCTATAGGATTCTTAGAGTCAGAAAGACAATACAGGTGTTAACGAGAATGTGGAGAAATCTCACACACTGCTGGTGAAGGTGTGAAATTGTGCAGCAGCTGTGGAACACAGTCTGGCAGTTCCTCCGGAGGTGAAACAGAGTTACCACCCGACCTAACAATTCCACTCCAAGAGAAATGAAAACAGCTACACAAAAACTTGTACAAGAATGTTCATAGACGTGTTATTCTTAATAGCCAGAAAGTGGAAACAACTCAAATGTTCATTACCTAGTAAATGGAAAAACAAAATATGGCATATCCATACAATGGAATATCATTCCTCAATAAAAAAGAATGGGATACTGATACATGCTACAATATGGATAAACCTTGAAAACATTATATTAAGTGAAAGAACCCAGTCACAAAAGATCATATAACGTATGATTCATTTATATGAAGTGTCTAGGATACAAAAAATGGAGGCAGAAAGTAGGTCAGGGGTTATGCTTTTATCTATTTGGTAGGGAGCCAGGAACATGGGTTTTTTTGTTTTGTTTTGTTGCACTATTTATATTGTTCTGGCCTAGTTATTCTAATAAGAAAATATTCTTTGGCTTTTAAAACTCTTTAGCTTTATACTGCAGCATTGTTTTTTTTAAATATTCCTTCCCTATCTAGCATTATTAAAAAATGGGAATTGACTCTAATGTCATTCTGCCATTAAATGAGGGAGTACATTATGGCCAAAAGAACACAAGGGAGAATTTAGAATCATACTGTTTTAGGACTGGAAAAGCTTTTTAGAGATCGTGTGGTCTTAGAATTTTAGAGTCAAAAGGGATGCTATTCATCAAAACTCATTTTAGAAAAGTAAGTCAAAAATGACATATGATATAAATATGATGGGCAGCCAAGTGAAGAGCAATATAAATACGATGTTGTCAATAGGTACTAAGAAGACAAGGAAAGGGTAGTGTGCGTGGCAAGGATTGGACTTAAATGTAAAAATGTACCTCGCTTTGCCCAATGAAATGTGAGCCAAAGTAACTTATGTCACTTTTGGTTAGAATTTTTATAATTCTTTATGTTCTCTTTTCCTGGGTCATGTGACAAAAACATGGAAGCATTTGACCAAATGGAGCTTCTACCAACCCCTGAGTCATGTGATGTCGCTTTGCCCAATGAAATGTGAGCCAAAGTAACTTATGTCACTTTTGGTTAGAATTTTTATGATTCTTTATGTTCTCTTTTCCTGGGTCATGTGACAAAAACATGGAAGCATTTGACCAAATGGAGCTTCTACCAACCCCTGAGTCATGTGATGAAAACATGGAAGCATATGACAAAATGGAGCCTCTATCAACCTGGGCCCCTAAGTGACCAGGATGAGCAGACTAACCCTGCTGATGCATGTTTAAGCCACTGAAATTTGGAGGTTGTTAACCATAGGAAAATTCCAATATACTACTCTTTCATTTATGTCTATTCTAACCGGGCTATGTGTAATTTAATTCTGGAGTGGTGAGACTTGCAAGGTTTCCTAAATGCTCACCGAATAAACATTACACCTTTGAAAAAAATTTTTTTTAAGTAAATTGGATCCTTAATAAAGGAAATTTTTTCTAGTTGAGACCTCAGGTATCTGTGGCTGGACTAAATGAAGTGGTTACAATTACTGACAGCTGCAGAAGGTGGCGGGGCATTGCTAACCTTGGGGCAGAGGAGAGGGGGCATTTATGGAACTGAGCCATGGGAGCCAATCAAAGGGAGCCAGTTGGCAGGGAGATCCCTCAGTAACCTCACCCTGTTGTGAAGCCCAGTGGAGTCTCTCAACAGCAGGTGCAGTATCTGGGGCATTTCTCTGGATATTCGTGTATGTTCCATCTGGAAAATAGCAGATGGACTGGGTTCCTCCAACCTATGACCCAGGAGGTGGTACTTAATTCTTCCCTCCCTCCCTCTTTTATGTAGGCTGGACTTAGTGGCTCACTTCCACAGGATAGAGTATGGAGATGAAAAAATAATAATGTGACAGTGGACAGACCTGCCTGACACCACTTAGCTAAGTGATAAAGGTTAACATCACCAGTGATACTCCATGGATGTCAGGTTCCCTGATATGCTGCGATGGGAAGAGCACTGCACCTCTGTGGTGGTCAATCAGACAAACTCAAATTGAGGGACATTTGACAAAATACCTAGCCAGTATCTTCAAAACCGTCAATGTCATGAAAAGCAAGGAACGACTGAGAAACTGTTACAGACCGGAAAAGACACAGATATGACAACTAAATGCAATGGGGGATCCTGAGTTGGATCCTTGAACAAAAAAAGACATTCATGGAAAATCTGAATAATGTTAAGTTTAGTTAATACTGATGTGCCAGTGTTTGTTTCTTAGTTTTGACAAATGTACCGTAGTGATATGATAAATTAGGGGAAACTGAAACTGGGTTATGGGTATACAAGAACCCTGTATTATCTTTGTAATTTATTTGTAAATCTAAAATTATTCCACACAAAAAATCCAACCTCCAGCAATAAACATTATTGATATCTGGTTGATACCCTCCCAGACTTTTTCTGTGCATGTATATCTTTTTTATTCTCTTAATCATTTATATTTTTAATCTAAATCTTACCAGGTTTAAAAGATTTACATCCACTAAGAAAATAAATAGGCCCTTCAACCAGGCCACTAACTAGCTATTTGTCAGCAGTGCTGCTGGAATATACAGAGTCCTGCACGTGAACATCTTTTACCAAGAGACCATATGTTGTATGTACTGATGATAGTCCATAAGGAAGCCTAGGTTTGGTGGTAGTCTTTAACACTTTGCTGACATTTATCTTACTTTTTGCTAGTGACAGAGTAGGCCTAGGGCCCAAAAGCTTTAGTAAACAAAATTTTTTAGCTAAAATATAACTTTTTTTCTTTTTAATTACTTTCTGTTTATCTCAAGTAACACTTGTTTAAAATGTATAGAAGTGATATAGTTTTCTTTTAAAATACATTTTAGGAAAAAAGAAAATTGCCTTTCAAAAATATACTAAATAAACAATAGTACAAGTGCTGGGAGGGCATGGCTAAGTGGAGAAGGTGGAAGCTGCTCGGTTCTGATCACCGGTCACCTCTCTAATCTCTAGGGTTTCCAGGAGGTCAAGCTTATGGGGACATTGTGAGCTGGGCCCATAGCTAGTCTTGTTTCCCAGGTAAAAGCAGTATCATGGCATAAGTTAATAAATTGATCTTCAAGTTTATAAATCAGACTTGTGGGCTTAGTTAACAGGATCTGATAAACTCGTGAAATCAAGCACCAGAACTCACAGAGTTAAGGACTTTTCTTTAGATCTGAGGTAACCACCCCCCATCAGCTACCACGAACTGAAGTTCAGATACAGCTTTATCATTTGCTCATTCAGAAAGCCTTTTCTGACATTTTCTGTGCATCAGATACTGCTGTGCTAGTCACTGGGAATGCAGAGGTGCATCTAAGATAGTCACCGACCTCAGGATACTCACAAACCAGCAAAGGAGACAAAGCCTGAAACACGGTACCTTATATACAGTACATTATGGTAGGTATATATGTCCCCAAAGCTCAGAAGAGTGAAAAATAATTTTTCCTAGGATTGAGCTTTACATGGTGGCATTTATACAAGATGGGCAGAGCTGGGGGGCATAAGTGGACTCCAGTCAGAGAAATGGCACATGCAAGGCTCAGAAGCACAAAAGAATGAGTAGATTAAACACAAGTAATGGTTGCATAAGGCTAGCACAGGATACATGTGCAGTTAGGTGAGTCTGTGAAGGTAAGTGGACTACACCAAGAGAAAGGAGCAACCACATATTGGAAGGGAAGAAACAAAGTGTTCGTTATTTACAGACAACATGGTTGCTAACAAGGAAAATCAGGAGACTAAAGGCGAAGTGTTAGAACCAGTGAGAGTTCAGCAAAGTTGGTGGACACAAGAGC